TACACAGAAACACACCTTGCAGCCCTTACACATACAAACACAATTTCACACAATGCATTCCTTACACACATATCAGGACATCCCTTACACACTCCACCCCCCGTGAACAAACTCATTGGTGGAACATGAAGGTGGACCCTGGGACCCAGACCTTGAGCTGTGTAAAGGACCCCAAAAAATGGAGCTGCTTCCCGTTCTCCCAGAACATTGATTTTTGTGACCACAGTTACAAACCGCCTCCAGAGAGCCTGTTCTGCACCAGACCAGTGGAGCCAGACTGCAGCTAGAGCCCATCATCATCCTCATCTGGTTGTAAGTAGGCAATCTAGTATAATATTCGTGGCACTAAGCTCTAATTTACCTCACGTTAAAGAAACACTATAGTCCCCAGAACCACTTCAGCTTAATGTAGTGGTTCTGGTGTCTATAGCCTGTCCCTGCAGGCCTTTTAATGTAAACACGGCGGCACTGCAGCACTGGCGTTAGTTAACATGGCAAATCATATGGCTGGGGCATTGTGATGTCACATGGGGGACGGCAAACTTTACTTTTGCCTTGGGCGGCAAAAATCCTTGTACCGCCCTGGCTGGAGGGGGCTGTGTGAGCTGTGGCCGCACAGTGTCCCATGGTAGTTAGGGTTCCGTGCGGCCAGTACAGCTCACTCAAGCAAACAGCTGATAAACTGGCCGCACAGAGGAAATGTGTATGTGTGACTGTCTGCCTGTGACTGTGTGTGACTGTCTGCCTGTAACTGAGTGTGTGACTGTCTGTCTGTAACTGAGTGTGTGACTGTGTCTGTAACTGAGTGTGTGACTGTGTCTGTAACTGAGTGTGTGACTGTCTGCCTGTAAATGTGTGTGTGGGGCTGCAGGGATTTTGTAGAAGGGGTGGGGGTTTTGTATTGGGACAGGAGTCTTTATAAGGGGGGATAAGCAGGGGATTTGTGGAAGGGGGTTGCGGGGTTTTGTAGATGGGGCAGTACAGGATTTGTAGAAGGGGCAGGACAGAGGTTTTGTAGGAGGGGCAGGGCAGGACAAGGGTTTTGTAGGAGGGGCTGACAGCGGTTTTGCAAAGTTTACAAATTGTAAAAATAAAAGAAATAAAACCTTTTAACATTTTTACATTGCTTTTTGGGAGGAGATGGGGCATACACAGATCCTACTCGGTGCCAAATGCTCTAGGTACGCCCCTGGGTGGGGACAAGGCATTTAAACAAGTATATTACAACAAACATACAAACCAAAATAAAGCAAGAAAAACTTTGAAAAGTATGTAATATACACAGGGATTGATTGACATAGGGCCTAATGTAGCTGAAGCTCCAGGCCCACACACACAGAATAGGAACACTGATAATATATATGGTATCTCAGAACGTTTTCTAACAATTCGGATGTCGAACAAATATTTTGAGTAAAAAATGTCTCAGTACGCGAACGATCTTCGGTACCCGAACATACAACAAAGAGCCATGTCTCATTATCAAGTCAGAAAATTGTGTATTAATAATTGTAATGATGGCCAACAGTAAATTTTTTGCAAGTTGGAAGGCAGGAACCACTCAAATAAATGTTAAAGGACCACTATAGTGCCAGGAAAACATACTCGTTTTCCTGGCACTATAGTGCCCTGAGGGTGCCCCCACCCTCAGGGTCCCCCTCCCGCCCGGCTCTGGAAGGGGAAAAGGGGTAAAAACTTACCTTTTTCCAGCGCTGGGCGGGGAGCTCTCCTCCTCCTCCGTTCCTCCTCCTGGGCTGAATGCGCACGCGCGCATTCAGCCCGTCGCATATTTTCGATTATTTTAAATTGGTTGAAAATCACAGTGAGAAGCACGCAAGCGCCTCTAGTGGCTGTCAATGAGACAGCCACTAGAGGATTAGGGGGAAGGCTTAACCCATTCATAAACATAGCAGTTTCTCTGAAACTGCTATGTTTATAGAAAAATTATGTGATTGACTACATAACTAAATGTTTGCTTTTATCCCATACATTCAGGGCCGTCTTTAATAACGAATGGACCCTGGGCAAGTGTTTGCTTGGGCCCCCTGTGCCCTGCCGCTCTCGCCCCTCACTCCCTGGTATGCAATCACAGCATCCATCCCAACGCAGTGGCGGTACTAAAGTAGAATGAATTTTATTGGGACCCCCAATTGCAAGGTTGGACTAAAGGTAGAACCCCATCTGTCGTGCAACTCCAACAATGCTTTGACAGCTGGGACTCTACCAATTTCCCATGCTTGCAGGGTTGTATTTAGCACTGAGCCATGTTAGTATGTTTGAATGTAAGCATGTGTTTGTATGGAGTATGTTTGTGTGAATGTGTTTGTATGTGGTACTGGAGTTTGAATGCAAGTGTGCATTTATGTGTAGTGTTTGTTTTTGAATGTAGGGGTGTGCTTGTATGTAGTGTTGACGTTTCAATGCAGGAGTGTGTTTTATATGTAGTGTTGAAGTTTGAATGGAGGGGTGTATTTGTATTTAAAGTTGCGGCTCAGATGCACAGGTACACACTCTGACGCACAAGCAGATACACAGATACATACACTGACTACATACAGATAAACAGGCACATACACTGACAGACACACTGGCACAGGTACATATATTGACACACACACAGACACATACACTGGTAGACGTACTGACAGACATACTGACACAGGCACATATACAGACATACTGACACACAGACACATATACCGACATACTGACACACAGACACATACACTGATCAACATACTGACACACATACACTGACAGAAATACTGACACCCATACACTGACAGATATACTGACACCCACATACACTGAGAAATACTGACACACACACACAGGCACATACACTGACACACACAGACTGATATACTGACACACACACACACAGACATACTGGCACACAGACAGATATACTGACACATACATACACATGCACTAACAGACATACTGACGCACTGACAGACATACTGACACATACTGACACAAACAGATATACACACACATACAGACAGACTTACTGACACACACACACAGACATACTGACACACACACAGACATGCTGACACACACACACATACACTAACACACACATACACTAACACACACATACACTAACACACAGATAAACTAAAACACACATACACTAACACTCAAACACACACACTAACACACACACACACACTAACGCACATACATTAACACACAAACACACACACTAACACACA